TGTGGGGTGTATCAGTGATGGACAAGAAGCTGAGTACAGGGAACTAGTCAGTCAGTTTGTGACATGGTGTGGTAACAATCACCTCATCTTACATACCAGCAAGACTAAAGAGATGATTGTTGACTTCAGGTGGTGGAAAATTACAAATATCTTGGAGTTCAGCTGGACAACAGACTAGACTGGAAATGCAACACTGACTACATCTACAAGAAAGGTCAGAGCAGACTCTACTTCTTAAGGAAGCTGAGATCATTCAGTGTCTGCACCAAGATGTTGCAGATCTTCTATAAGTCTGTTGTGGAAAGTGCAATCAGCTTTGCAGCCATCTGCTGGGGCAGTAGCATCAGACCCAGAGACTTACAGAAACTAAACAAGCTGATCAGGAAAGCTGGTTCTGTGCTGGGGATAACTCTGGAACCACTGGAGCTGATTGTTCAAAAAAGAATGCTGCACAAGATGATGAAGATGATGGAGGATTCTTCCCACCTCTCCACAACACAGTTAAGTGAAGAATCAACAGAGTGTGTTTAGTGGGAGGCTGCGTCAGCTTCGCTGTTGAACGGAGAGATACAGGAATTCCTTCCTGCCAACAGCCATCACCTTAAAAAACAAATCTGACTGACTGAATGATTGTTGTTGTTGTTGTATAGAATATATGTTATATTGATTTAAAAAAAAAAGAGAGAGAAGTTTCTTTATTTTATGCTGATGTGTGTTTAAAAAGAAGTTATAGTTGTTTCTTTATTGCCAATTTCATGAAAGGAAATAGTTTGATGCATTATATGATGATGTGACATTTTTTTGTGTTTTGCAAGTGCACATTGCTGAAAGTAATTCAGAGAGTAATTTTTGGTGCATGCTTTTCTATTGCACTAGGATGCCTATAGTGCAGGAGGAGTAATTAAGCATACTTTTAATATCTCTGAAACCTGAATGTTTTACTTTTGTTGTAATTGCACCTTATTTCTCCAGTTATGATAAGTCATCATCATATCAGCTGTATTAATAATCACTTACCGTGATGAAATGTGCTCACTGTTCATGAGAACAGTAAAATATGTGTTCTTGAATGTTTAGTCCTCATATTTGAACTTGTTATATTTTGAATGTTGTACAACCAGAAAGAATGAGATTTGATTTGATTTAGGATTTATTAGTGACATTTAATTCATTAATAATTGCACTTTGACAAAGGGACTTTTAAGAAGATGCATCCGAGAATGAACTGTAATGAATGCATTTGACCTTGTCTACAGGTCAGGTTTTTTTTTTTGAGTGGACAGTGAATTCCAAGGATGCAGAACGAGATCCCAGATGGCGAGCTGAAGGACCTAGGAGAAGATACACGTACCATTCACACATACATTCATCTTTCACTCTCATGAACTCTTAATATCAGGTGCACCTGCAACAACTCAGGGCCCCAACGGACAATTTCATTTTCTGTGCGTATAACCTTTCTTGTATTTTTTCTTCTTTGTTTTGGGGGTTTATTCAAATTTATGTTATGCTAAACTGCCACTTAATTTGTTCTTTGTAAAAATAAACGAGTGGCTACTCAAACTTCATTTCTGTGCTCTCATTATTGTTGCTCAACTCTTGGCTCCTATCAAATCTAGAACTTCTGATGCTAGCCCTTTTGTCTTGTCACAGTACATGATTATTATACTGTAATCTATCTCCATATCGGAAAGTCGGTTACACATACACAAACCCCAATGCCAGCGGCACTTTGAAATGTCAGTGTTGGACCTTCTCCAGCAGAACAGTGGCCCTGCAGCATCACAAAAACTACTCAAAAATAGCGTGAGCAACACAACATGGAGCCCAAGATTCTGATCCAACCTCCAACACCCCAGATCCCAATCTGATTGAGGAACAAGATTAGCCCACTGGCTTGTACACAGATATTCAAACGGTCGTTTTAGCTGCATGAACCAGCTGGTGAAATCTGCAATAGCAGGTTGTAGTTGCCATCACATAGTAACACTTGTTTAATGTAATCGCACCCATGGTGAGACATGAACAGAAAGAGAAAATCTGTAGCCACGACGCAAAGAACATACCCAACAACCAAAAACAGGCTTTGCTGGCTGCTGCAAACTGTGCTAAATCATAACAGATGCCTTTAGAGTGCAGGTAATGATGAGGCTGGCAGCGACGCAACAGAAACATCAGAGAGGTGTGAGCATGGAACAGTGGCTTTAACATTCTGACATGCACTGTGCTGTAAATGAACTAACTAGAACGCTGGAGTCCCGTTGCATGTGTGAATGTGTCCACGGTTTAAGTGTCAGACTTAGTGCACAAATGTTTAAAAAAGTTTGTTACATTTTTCTAAATTTTTTGAATGGTTGCCAAATTCAACTGTGAATGGGTAAAAAAAAAGTGTCGCTCTGAAGTGAATTTGCATAAAAAGCATCATTTATATGATCAGATAATAAAGGAAACTACTAAATCCGCCTAGGTGTCAGGTGATCCTGACATGAATTCAGCTTTGATTTTTGCTTTCAGTACACACAAACATAAGACAGAAAACTGAGGAAAATTTGCTGTATTGTTTTGCATTTTAATTTAAAACAAACAATACAAATGAACAGATTGAGTGTTTTTGTTTGTTTGTTTGTTTTTTGTTGTTTGTTTTTTAAATTAAGGATTCACAAACATGCTTTCAGCGCTAGCAGGGGTATCAAAATGAGGCTTGACGGCAGACTTCGAGGCTGCTTTATGGCCCTGTGTTGGTGTTCTACAGAGTAAAGGCGGTTTTAATGCTTCGGCTGCTGCCTGTATACTGGAACCAAAATGCCCCAAGGCCCTATTTAAAGGGTATAACATTGAAAAATGTAAAGAATCCTCTCATTGTATGCACGCCGAAATAAAGACTTGTTCGTACCGTATTGGAAAGCATGTTCAAGAGTTGCATTATATCTGCACAAAGCTCTACATATTCGCAAAGCTTTAAATATGCAGTTTTCTCAACGAAGTTTGGCATATCGTCTGTCAAACTCAGAAAACAACGTAAAGCGGCTCCAGCTGTCGTAACACGCACACATTTTTACGTCACTCTATTCCAGGTCGCACAGTGAGACTACACGTGAATAGAGCAGCAGTGGGCTGATTTCGCCTCTTTTTGTTCGGTGTTGCGAAGATTCAGCTCCAGGCAGTGCAGCAGGAGTGTGACACCGGCTCCGTGCAGAGGGAGAGGCCGGCAGGATGCTGTATCTGATCGGCCTGGGGCTCGGAGACGCCGCTGACATCACGGTGAAGGGTCTGCAGGCGGTGAAGAGCTGCTCCAGAGTCTACCTGGAGGCCTACACATCCATCCTCACTGTGGGCAAAGAGGCGCTGGTGAGTCCCGGGCCTGAACACAGACACGAATAGAAGCAGCTGGATGTTCAATATCAGTTTTTACTTTTATTCATATAGCGCAGTTCACAGCATATGTCATCTCACAGCGCTTCACACAGCAGGTGAAGACCTTAGAACTTTAACAGAGAACCCTTAGTTAGAAGGTAACTTTGGACTCCCTCTGAGCAGGCGGTCGGTACCGGTGTTCCTTTGCAGAACAAGTCCAACATGCTGCACGACGGCAGCTCAGTGTTGCCAACTCCTCAGTAAGGAAAGTAGCTATTGGCTGTCCTAAAAGTCGCTAGAAGTAGCCAAATGGCATCATCACCTAATTTGCATAATTATGATTTGCATGTAACTATAATGGACGCTGAAGGAGAGAAGGATAATGTCGTAGAACAGACAAAAAGTGAGTAAGAAACACCCTAAATATGTTTATTTATACTTTATTAATACAAATGAACTGTCATCTGTTGATTCTTTGTTTGTTTTTAAAATTTTTGCCTCTGAAATAGGCCATCACTTCTCACAATACCTTCTAGACTCACATTAAATAAATCAACTTTGTCCTGTATTGTTACATGTTAGAATATCAAATTTAATCAAACGATGGTAATGTGGGGTGAAACTGGCAACTTTACATCCAACCCTGCTCCTTTATCCGGGCTTGTGACCCAAAGACACTCTGGCAGAGTAACTTAGGCTTTTTTTTTTGTTTTTTAGTTGTTGGAATTCTTTTTTGTTTTTCTGGCATGGTGAGCAAGCAAGATATTTAGCTTATGTCACAGAGAGGAACACACAGTGGACAAGGTGAGTAAGTGACTGAGGCAGAGTGAGTCAAATGATTTATTTTATTGTGACAGTGAAGACACGTTTACATTCAGATCTCCCTCTGTAAGCCAAGCTGGGATCAGCGGCGCGTTTGGGGGTCTCCTCTGATCCGACTGCAGCTGCGCAGGACTCCTTACAGCCTGGGAGAGCTTTGGGACGGGGAGGAGCTCACGGCAGCACCCGCTGCTCAGGACAGTAATGGCACAACGATACGTGCTTTTCTGTCAGTCTCCAAAACACAAGAAAAAGTCGCTAGATTTGTCGCTAGTCACTTTTGGAAAAACGAGAAAGTCACCAAGTTGGCAACACTGCAGCAGCTCAGTCCCTCCGGTTCTGGACCGATTTCATATTTAGTGACATTGTACCAAACCCGAGCATGTCCATACTTTATACTTCTAGCTAGGGATGGGCTGATACCTCTGTTTGATTTCCGATACCGATACTTCAACTTTGAGTATCTGCCGATACCGATACCAATACCATCTCTCCTCCTAAACTTCTTTGGAAATACCTTATTATCATGGATACATTTGTTTAAGATGGCTCTATCAAAAGCCTCATACTATTAAAGCAGAGACTTTGCTTTTCTAAGAAAGGAAAAAACACCCAAAAGCATGTCTCAAAGTGAAACTGTAGCTGCTTTATTTGAGCTGCAATCAGACTACAGTGTGCACTCAGTGCCATTCACATATTTAGAACAGATCAAAATGACACAGCAACATTAAGCTGCAATTTAAAGGTTAAATGACCAAAACTTGGTATTAAATAATAGTACCACTAATAGCCGCTCTCGGCTCTGCGCATGAGCAGTAGTAATCGGATCCAATAGGAAGGGTCTGTCTGCAAAGCCGGAGACCCACGTACAGGCTGCACGTAGAGGGCTGCACGTAGAGGCTGGACTCGTCTTCTACGGCCGTATAAGTGCACGGCTTCTAGTTCGGGTGCGCAACGTAGTTTTAAAGGGTGATTTCACTCAAAATATACTTCCAATTTTTAAAAATATATATATATATTTAAGAAGAGTATTTTTAACCCCTTACCGCTCTCACGGCCCGCCGGCGGGACGTGACCACCTTCCAAAAACATTACAGCCAGATGTGCTCGCTCCACAATCAAGTTTCCCGACAATATACACATCAAATGAAAGCTCAGAGTCTCCTCTTTCCGATGATATAAACCTTTTTAACTGGCAGCAACCACAGCGTTGACACAAAGAGCTTTTTTTTTTTTTTTTTTTTTTACAGAACAGCAACATGTTAAAATCCGACTTCTCTTACTTTTGAAGGCTCTCTGCAGCTCAAACATCGCTCATTCTTCACCAGCTTGGTCTCATTCTGTCTGGACACAACCAGTCAACATAATCCAGTAAAATAATTCGGTCCGTAAAACGTATTAGATCCTCAAAGGCACAAATTCTGCAGTAATGTCTTCCCAGCTTGAGATCAACTCTGGCTGTTTTATCCATTTCTTCTGGCAAAATCAGCCTGAACCTATTTTAGATCGCGCTGAAAGCGCTACAGTCAGCTAGACGGCTCAGCTTTTGATTGACACCTAGTTTGGCCAATAGGAGGGCTTTGGGGGTGAGTGACAGCCTGAAGAGCCAATGGAGTGTCTCAGACAGTAAACCCGGTACGGACAAGTTCCACCCTTGTACATTCGACCAGTTGGGTTGCAGACACTCTCTGACGCTGTACACTGGTAGCCAATGAGCAGACGAACACGTGGATGTGTCGGAAGGCAGGATTGTGTGTGTGTGGCGGTATCGGATCGGCCAGTTACCACTGTGAAGTATATCATCCGATACCATAATTTCGCCCAGTATCGGCCCGATACCGATACCCAGTATCGGATCGGCGCATCTCTACTTATAACCTACATTTATTTCAGAATTCACTGTAAAGATATCCATCCCTTGAACTAGATCGCCTGCCTGCTTTATAAGCCAGAAAGAATTTTAAACGGCTTCAGTGTAGAAACTGAGAAAAATAATTAGTTGTTCACTTAAAGGAATTGTCCTGTCCCCTCCCTGCCCACTGCTTCCAGGTCAGGCCTTCACTATGAACTAACTCTAAATGTTTTAGCAACCAAATGTTGTGCTGCTGGATGCAAGAGTGAACACAATAGTCCTCCTGCACTCCCAGCATCCCTGGAGCTGTTTGACACAGCCAGGCTTTCTCTGTGTAAGCTGGCTCCACAAAACCTGAAAGGCCGGTCAGAGGCAGAGTATTACAACGGGGGCTATCACCTTTCTTTGTTAACTGGGTTTCTTATCAGACTCTGTGCATGCTCACTTAAAAGGAAACGTATCACAAGAATACATCAGTTAACAACTGTAAAATGCAAATATTCTATATTCCTCTCTTGCATCAACATGAGCGGAATATAGTTCTCAGTACTGCTTCTTTTTTGGAATGTGACCGCTGCACACTGGAGCTCCTAAACGTTAAACTTCAAACATAATATTCAAAAAGTGTCTTTGGGCCTGATGCTGCCGTAAAAAGGATCACTTTAGTTTTGACCAAAGTGAAGTTGGTGTTATTGACTTAATATTCTGTGTTATAGGGTCCGAGGACCCCTACTTGCAAAGCAAGCCCTATTGTTCCTGCTCTGTTTCTTTCTTTCTTCCTTCTTTTTCTTATTTGCCTGACCAACACGAAACCCTTAATTTGATCCCCTAAACACATTCAAAAACTCACCAAAATTGGCACGCACGTCCAAATCGGCGAAAAATTTGATAAAATGAAAAAAAAAAAAAAAAAGCTCTCTAGCGCCACCTAGTTACAGAAAAACACACTAAAACGGCCCTAGTGCCCAGTAGGAATGTCATACAGAGATCAAACCAACACAAAAACGTTCGTCTCAATGAGACCCACAAATCTCGTGCTGACACCCCTGAACCTATCTCCAACAGGAAGTCCGCAATTTGCCTTTCAAAGTAAGAAAATCCGTGAAAACTTCTTTTGGGAAAAAATTATTTTGTCTGACACCGTAAATCGTACCAACTTGAAAATCGCACAGGAGACAGAGTAGGCCTTGATGTACAAAAGTTCTAAAGGGATTTGGCGTTTCGCAACCGGTTTTGGAATGGCGAGCCGTTAAAATTGGCTGTCTATGGGACATGTGCAGACATGCTGTGACATTTGGTCATCTACACAAAAAACTAAAGGTCCTACAGCTTTAAAAATGACACTGAGGGCTTCCTAACAAGATTTCCCACAAAAATATGCTGTTTTTACACATATTTGGAGAAAATTGTGGCTGTATGGGAGAGAGAAATTGAGTAAAACTCTCAGCTCTCTCACCCAGGGGCATGCAGAACGATGACATCATCACAGCTCAGTGCAGCTGCTCCTGTCACTCACTGACAGGCTGAGCAGAGAGAGAAAAATGGCTCCTTCAACTTAAAGTAGGTTTAACTTGAAGAACGGTCAGACGGGCATGAGGTTCCAAAACGGACCGAGAACCCGACAAACGCTGCTTGCAGCTTTAATTACTCATAGCAATGGCACCATGACAACAGGCAAAAGTCTGTGTACAGTCAGTGTGTCCAGTGTTACCTCTACTTTTGATGGTGTGTCCACAGGTCAAAGCTTCGTGAAATCTGTAAAGCTGAGGAACAATCAGGGAGCAACTTCAACTTCAAATTTATTATTTGTCCCCGAGGGGCAATTTGTTATGTAGCAGCTTACACAAGCATTCACAATAAACAACAATAAAAACAGTAAAAAAAAAATAAAAAAAAAAAAAGGTAAAAAAAAAGGTTTTTTTGGTTTGTTTGGTTTTTTTTTACAGTAAAGAAACAATAAAAAAACAGTTAAAAATTACACAAAACATAAGACAGACAGGGACATTAGCAGCAATCTTGGTCATTCATTCAGTCAGGTGTATTCCAGTGCAAACAGTCAGCAGCAGCAAGGCAGAATGAAGTCAAGTAAACAGGTTAAAGTGCAGCACAGTACATGATAGAGTACAGCAGCAAAAACACAGTGCATTACCACCTCCTCTTCTCAGCGTTTATAGCTCGGATGGAGGTAGGTACAAAAGAGAACTTATACCTGTTTTTTGTGGCCTGGGGTACTGCCAGACGAAAGCTGGAGGGGAGCAACTTATACTCCTGATTGAGAGGATGAGTAGCATTCATAAGAATCAACTGAGCTTTCTTTTCAAGTTTTTTGCATGTGGGAAAGGGCCATGAGCGGGATTCAAACCCATGACCTTCACATCAGGACTGTAGCCCTGTACATGGGATGCCAGCTCAACCTGGTGAGCTATAGCGGCGCCCCCTGAGCTTTCTTTTTGATTTGTACAGTCGTTCAAAAGCACAATTAAAAACTTTCTACAGTTGATTAGGTGCTCCACTGCAAGTACTTTAATTGCCAAGTAAATTATTTCAAATAAATACCTGATAAGGACGTGGCTCTGTGAGAAAGCTGGAAGTGACCGAGGTTGATTTGGGCCTTTTTAAGGAAAGTGAGCATCTCTCTCTGGGTGCTTGTCATTATGCTTCCTAGTGTCCTCTCTCCCCATGTGACCCCCAACTCATTCTCCCTCCACCATCACGGAGAATTTTCCAGGTTCTAAAATCGCCGACGAGGCTTCAGGAGTGTGGAGGGAGGGAGGGTGTCTCCTACTGTACCTCACAATGTCAGTAGGAGGAGCTAAGATGCAAGAGTGAGTAAAGTGAGAAGCCATGTTAGCATAATGATGAGCACTGTCTCTGTCCCCAGTGTGTATGAAATAAGGGTAGTTAGCAGCTATGAGACAGGCCACAGAAGTGACGAGACTAAAACCAAAGGTCTGCCCATCGTGGTTTGAGCCACACATCTGGACAGGGGACACTAGGTCTGAGTAACAGCTAAAGGTTCGGCCTACAAGATTCTGCAATGGAAAACAGCTTATTGATATAACGCAGCTTTGGAGCATTTTTTAACTGTTTCAGAAGAAATGTGGACAATTAGGCACTTCGAATATTTCCATTATGGTCGACAGTGGTAATGCCTATCATTTTTAGTGTAGAAGAACGAATATTTCTTCTAGGTGTGTATGCAAAAGTCTACATAGCACGGCTGTGCAACTGGTTCCATGTCTGGCTCAGACTCCCCTGGGTGCCAATGTTACGGTCCAACACAAGCGGAAAACATAGGAATGGAAAAATCAAATTTGAAAGCAACAATCCAAATACGAAATATTTGAAATTCAACTGAGAAACAATTATCCATTTGTGAAGTTAACACACCACTAAAGAAGTTAATGAAGTCCTCTGATGATGTGTTTCAGACTTCAGCAACGTGTATGCTTCTGCAACATTTCTGTTTGCTTCTTTAGCCGTGTGTTAACAACTTCAGCAGTGTTTTACTTATTTAGCATCTCCTTTTATGGAGAGGGGGCCTCTTCAGCTGCACGTTGGCTGCTGAAACAGTGACTAAGCTACCCTAGCTGCGCCTTAACTGTTACTTTGCCTTCAGGAGGAATACTATGGGAAGCAGCTGATCCTGGCAGACAGGGATCTGGTTGAGCAGGGAGCTGATGAGATCCTGAAGGATGCAGATGTAACTGACGTGGCGTTCCTAGTGGTCGGCGACCCCTTTGGGTGAGTCACATCATCCACGTATCAGGACTGTATTACCTCAGTGCTGCAGCAGCAGCTCATATTGATCCCACATATCTGAGGTCTGCTGTGTCAGCGTGCGGACTGCAGCAGAGTCTGATGTGACCACAGAGTTTGTGTCAGAGCAGTCTGGCCTTCATTTCGGCAGATTTCTCCCCAAAACCACCAGATTCCTCTCAGAGTTAATAACAGAGTGCTGAGCAGCTTGCCTGCTGCCTTGAACACACAAACTCTCTTGACTTTTGTTCACGGGAACGTTGGTTTTTGCAGTTTACATGAAAAGAGGAGCTGATTCTTTTTTCTCCCACTGAAGACTGAAATTGGTGAAGTTTCTTTTCATCCCACTGAGGTTTCACTTGACTGTGACCTCAACATCTGTCCGTTACTCTGTGTTTCAGTCATGCGGTCTCCAAGGTCTCATGTTTCTGCAGGGCTTCCAGCCCTTCATCTTCCAACAGCAGCAGGACAGTGTAGCATCTGTGGGAGTTCACTGTCTGCTGAACGTTGACTCTCTGTTCCCAACTGCCGAGCTCATGTCAGAAAATTTGTATCTATTAGAGATTCTTTGTTAATTCTGATAATAAGATTCCCTGATTGTCCTCCTGCAGAGCCACCACTCATAGTGACCTGGTCCTGAGAGCAGTGAATGCTGGGATACAGTTTAAAGTCATCCACAATGCGTCCATCATGAACGCAGTCGGCTGCTGTGGTCTGCAGGTAAATCTTTCCTGAGTTTTTCACTTTGTTAATTTTGCACATGTAAGAATCAAAGAAATGCCATCAACAAGATGACACTCCGTTTTTGTTAATTTGATGCTTGTTTTACCCATAGACTGTATAAAAGATGGATGTAGCAACCGGCCCTGAAAAATGAAGCCAACCAGGAAGTGTCAAAAACCTGCAATATCACTACGTCCGCTAGCTGCTGGCTCCAAAAAGCCCTGGCTCCTATAGACTTGAATTGGAAAAGAAGTGACCACAGATCACGAAATATTACGTTCCTACAGCTCAGGATTGGTGACCAATCTGAAAATAAATCAATTCTGAATTTTTAAAAAATCGTCAACATTTTGCGGGGCAAGGGGCGTGGCTGGCTTGATTGACAGTCAGCAGCGACGATGCAGACGAAGCGAGCAGAAGGCGGTAAATGTGGGCGCGCAGAGAGGGCCTCCCTCTCAATCCGTCTGACCAATCGCTGCTCCTATGGTTTCGCCCCCCTCTGACGATTTTTGCGTCACCGGCTCCAAAAATCCAAGATGTCAACCAGGAAGTAGCAAAACCCTGGCTTCATTTTCTCAGTGCAGAAACCAACGGGTGACGTCACGGTAGCTACGTCCATCTTTTATACAGTCTATGGTTTTACCCTGAAACGCCTGGATCACTTTTCAAAAACTCAGTTTTTCATAATTTATTTTTATTTGTTTGACCTTTGTTTTACGAGGCAAAAATGTTTGAGAACCAGTTCTCATTTGCAAAAATGACCTGAAGCAGGGGGTGAACAGGACAACAGCTGTTAGAAGTCAGGACTCAGTTTGAATCTCCAGCATGACACAGACAGTCGCCAGGAAAAGAAGACAGATGTGTTTGGACAGAGGCATATTACAAAGGTTTAGAGATTAAACTGATGTGAAATGTGTCAGTTAATAGACGAGGTGACAGTAATTAATTATTTGTCTTTCAGAAATAAAACCGTGAACGCTTCATATTAATGTGAACTCATCAATAACTGAGCTGTCACAGCAGCGAATCAGCGCACAGGACCCAGCTGTTCCCCACAAACACACACACACAGATTAGCATTAATGCTAGCACAGAATCTCCACTGGGAGGTTCTTAATATGCTAATGGGGGCGGGTTATGTAAATGAGCAGTATGCTCTCCACCAGGAGTCAGCCCCATCTGCCTCTACTGTCTGTGGAACACCGACTCACCACAGGATGCCTCCAGGCTTTTTTTCACGTTACTTTAATTTTTGCTTGGAACAAAGGCACACTCATACATAGCGAAACACTTTTCCATCACTTTCCTTATTGTAATATTTAAAGCCATAAGGTAATAATAATTTGAAAAATAGTAAAACAAATAAATTCATACATTCTTCTTAATGTTATGGCTGAAATGAGCTTAATAAGAAAATAATAATAATTGAAAAATAATATTGAGGCTCAAGAATGCAATGGGTGGGTAAAAGAAAAGCTGAGTTTGTTTTACCACATAAGTAAGGCAAGAAGCTAAATCTTAACAAACAAAATGCACAGTGATTGCTGGGCCATCACGCTGCCACCTATCACTGAAAACTCCAGAAGCGGGAGCACAGATCTAATCAAATCTAATGAAAGATCAGGTCTTTCATCTTGGACCTGCACATCTTAAAGCTACTGTCCGCTGCAGCTGCTGTTCATGTTTTTGGAGGTTTGAGGTGTCACAGTGACGACAAGAGCAGCTGCAGACACAACAGGAGACAGGACAGATTCACACGAGTCTCCATTTCCTTCTAAATGTCCGTTTTTATCAGCACACTGAAGTGCATGTTGTAACTGCTGACCTCTGTGTATGTTACTTGTGTTGCTGATGCTGTGAGACACCAGTTTACACTGTGTGTGTCTGTGTGTCTGTGTGTCTGTGTGTGTCAGCTGTATAACTTTGGGGAGACGGTGTCCGTGGTGTTTTGGACGGAGACGTGGAGACCTGAGAGCTTCTACGACAAAATCTGTAAAAACAGAGCAGCTGGACTGCACACACTCTGCCTGCTGGGTAAGACACACACACACACAACATGTCATTAAACTGACATATGATTAAATTGTGTAATAAGCAGAAAAATATCAATACAAAAACTAAAATTGGATATGGCGCCTCAGTGTTACGCCTTCGTCAAAAACTCAAGTTGCATCTGAAATCAATTCATCATTTTATCCTAAAGCTAAAACAGGTTTTGTGACCTTTGACCACCAAAATCAAGTCCTTGAGTCAAGTGGATGTTTGTGTCAAATTGTAAGTGTTCCAAAGACATCTGTGAATTACAATGGGACAGACGGACAACACAATGTGTGTGATTATGGCTTTTGCCAACCAGCGAACACAAATATCAGTAAAATCTGCTCAAATATAATTTAAAATATCCATTTAAAAAAATATAACTGAAATATGTCTGAGTCATGTTCTGTAAATTGGACCAAAATTAATAAAATGTGCAAGAAAATAGTCATTCTATGTCAATTGCAAGAGCAGGTTTAGATGAGGTCTGTGATGGACTGGGGCAGGTCCAGGGCCCCACCTCTTGCCCAAATTCAGCTTTTGCCAAAGTACAACCTTTCGTCTTCAGTCTGCAGTCATCTCTAAAAAGCCCTGATGGTGCATTGAGGGAACTGCCAGGTGTCCATAACTGCAACTAGACCACCATCAATCACCCCACCTTCCCTAAACTAACAGTCCAGTTGGAGGTGGATGAGCTGCTGGTGACTGTTAATATACTTTTGAGGAAACAATGTCTGTCCCTCCTCTGCCATGTTGTTCCACTGCAGAGACTAAACACTGGTGTAAACACACACAGCAGCATTCATTTATAGTGAAGCATCAGGCAGACTGTATTTGTAAAGGACACACAGTGCTTTACAGAGCTACAGGAAACTAATACAACATAACATAAAACATAAATGTAAAACAAACTCTACAGAGACTCTATAATTGATGTAATTCATTCTCCAAGCGTTTTTTTTGCTTGTTGATGTAGCTCTAATGCCAGTGGTTGAAGTTTCACAGTGAGTTTCACTACCAATGACAGAGACTTTTAGTCTCAGTTTTAACTTGGTTGAGGTGTAGAAAATTCTCTGCCATCCATGACCTAATATCTAAACTAGAGTTATCTATAAGCCCTGGGTCATCAGGAGACATGGCAATGTACATCTGTATGTGCATTTCCCAGGACTGAAAATTAAACCTTGAGGAACACCATCATTAAGGTCTTGTAGCTTTTAGATGAACATTTATCCATGATTACAAAAAATATTTATTAGTAAACTAAGATTTGAATGAATTAAAACAGTCCCAGAGAAGCCAGTCAGACTGTGTAATGTGTCTAGTAGAACATGGGCTGGACCATATCAAAGCTGCACTAAATGGTGCTGTCTCAGTGTCTGGGATTATTGATGTAACCAGGACTCTGCACACCAGTGAACACACAACAGTTACTGATATCATTAACACATATGCAGGATGTAATAATAAGCCACCGCAACAGTCTGCGTCATTTATACAATATTCATTTATAATTCAATATTCAATTCAATTTTATTTGTATAGCGCATATTTACAACAACAAGTCATCTCATAGCGCTTAACAAAAGCAGAAACACCCAACAATCCAAAATATTTGGATTCCCTATAAGATTTATACTTTTGAAAAGAAAGTTACAAACTGCTTGTTGTACTTGAACCAGGAATAAAAGATGTCAGGTCAGCAGTGAGGCAGATCGAACCATTCAATTCAAAAAACACTCAAAAATATAGTGTAGAACAGTAACATGAAACAAACAGTGATGCATGTTGCACAGTTATTCAGGCATTTATTCAATTTGTTGGACTTTTTTAAAACATTCAAGTTTTTTCTGATGTTGCTGTTACTTTATTGTTGTGTGACTTCACCTTTGTTCGTGTTATTTACCACATTTTACAGATAAATAACATATTTGTCTGATATTTTATAAATAAAAAAAAATAGAAAATTAGATTTTAATTTTAATATTTTATGTTGACATCGTGTCCAGAACTTCAAAAATACACTGTTTGTAGTTATGTAATGAAGAGGGTCCTTACATGTGAGGAGTGAGAACAACTACAAATGATTTAATTATAAATCGATTAGCAAAATAGTTCCCAGTTCAGTTACTGGGCTCAGTTAAAAGAGTCGTTTGAAAGATATATTTGCTAAGTACAAAAAAACAGCAAGACTTATTTACTTCAAATTACATGATTAGTAGCTGATATGCTGGTATTTCCTTTAAAGATTTCTACATATTTTCAAAATTTCTGTCTGACATTGTAATATTATTCAGATATTCAAATTGCTGGATAGGTTGCAAATATTTTCAGTAGATTTTGAGGACATTTTGATCAGTTCTTGTACTAATATTTGGAAAATTGTCATATCATTGGTAAAATTACATTTATTGCTTTTTTATAAATCTTTTATATTTAAAAAAAACAATAATTCTTAGGGCTGCTGCAAGTTTTCAGTCAATTCAAATGAATGAATTTATCTGTTAGGTGCTTGGTCTTTAAATGGGGAAAAACTGTTTTAAAATGAATTTTGATCCAACAGTAATTCAGTGATAATCAGTTGCCTTCTGAGTCATTGAATGGTCGATCTGAGAGTCTTTGGAGAGCTGCTGTTGCATTCCTCATATGCTTTGCATCCCCTCTGATAGTCCAGTGGACACACTGCCAGACAGGTGATGCACTGCAGACAGGAAAGATGATGTGACACTTCCCCTTGTGCATTTATTTCTCACTATTCATTTTAAAATGTAGATTCTCTGACAAAATCCAGCTGCTGGCTGTAAGCACTGCAGCTCCGCCTGGTGGGGATGGCAAGACTGCAGCTGGATTTCTGACTGCTATTGGCTGATTATTAGGGTCCGAGGACCCCTACTTGCTGCAGCAAGCTATTGTTCCTGCTGCGTTTCTTTCTTTCTTTCTTTCTTTCTTTCTTTCTTTCTTTCTTTCTTTCTTTCTTTCTTTCTTTCTTTCTTTCTTTCTTTATTGTTTGCCTGACCAACGCAAAAACCTTAATTTGACCCCCTAAACACGCTCAAAAGCTCACCAAAATTGGCAGGCACATCCGAATCGGCGAAAAATTTGATAAAATGAAAAAGAAATTACAAAAATGCTCTCTAGCGCCACCTAGTTACAGAAAAACACACTAAAATGGCCCTAGCGCCCAGTAGGAATGTCGTACAGAGATCAAACCAACACCAAAACGTTCGTCTCAATGAGACCCACAAATCTCATGCTGACACCCCTGACCTATCTCAAACAGAAAGTCCGCAATTTGCCTTTCAAAGTAAAAAATTGAGCGAAAACTTCTTTTGGGAAAAAATGATCTTGTCTGACACCGTAAATCGTACCAACTTGAAAATCGCACAGGAGACAGAGAAGGCCTTCCGAATGGCGAGCTGTTAAAGTTGATGATTTGCCGCAGCCTCGGCTCATACTTTGTATGGGTGTCTATGGGGCATGTGCAGATATGCTGTGTCAGTTGGTCATCTACACAAAAAACTAAAGGTCCTACAGCTTTAAAAATGACACTGAGGGCTTCCTAGCAATATTTCCCACAAAAATATGCTGTTTTTACACACATTTGGTGCAAATTGTGGCTGTATGGGAGAGTTAAAGTGAGTAAAACTCTCTGCTCTCTCAGCCAGGGCCATGCTGAACGATGACATCATCAGAGGTCAGTGCAGCTGGTCATGTGACTCACTGACAGTCTGAGGCTTAGAAGACAGAGAAAAATGGCTCCTTCAACTTAAAGCAGGTTTAAATTGTGTCAAAATGGAGGTCAGACGGGCATGAGGTTGCAATGCAGACCGAGGACCTGACCAACGCTGCTTGCAGCTTTAATTATTATTATTATTACTATTATTACTAATGTTGTTTTGTGTTGTTGTTGCTGGTGCAGCAATTTCCCTGAGGTTTCCGCCAAAGGGATCAATAAAGTTCTATTCTATTCTATTCTATTCTATTCTATTCTATTCTATTCTATTCTATTCTGTTCTGCTGGGCTTTGGCTGCTGTGATTTAATCTGTGGAGTTATTTGTACTATTTGATCCTGCTGTGCTTCTATGACCGGTGTGTTTTGCTTTTTTTTAGGAATTTAGGAACACAGCAGCTACAGTACAAAGCCAGCTAAAACTATCACTGTACACTCTGTCACTGAATGTAGTTCGTGTTCCAACCACCAAAAATGAATGTATTGTAACAAAGGCTGCAGCCACATCCACAGTGACAGCTACGTCATCCTAAGATTGCAGTTGTAGTCAGAGCTACAGGTTGTCTCTGCAATGGTCAGAGAGAAGAAGCTGTTGAACCTGCTCCTCTAGTTTTCTCTAAATGCAGTTGTGCAGACTTGTGCCTGACAGACATAGCTGAGATTGTACTGACTCTTTGCCACCAGCAGTGCTCTACTATGATGTGATACAAGACAATACATCGCATATATGTATGACAATATATCGCAATACTGCTCAGTCTTTCCTCATAGGTCACTGGGTAATGCAAATTAGTCCTCAACAAAGAAAAAGGGTTTTTAGATAGCCGATGGCACAGACCATATGGGCATATGCCCTGAGCAGCAAATCTCACCAATGAATGCTCTTCCAGGATTATTAAGGTAATGACAGATTAATTTTCTGTCCCCTGGGTAGTCAACTCATCTTTACGGCTCTGAAATAAACACAAATAAAATAAAAGTATTCAGTTGTTGTATCTTAAATGTTCTCCTTTTTTTTTTACTGACAGATATTAAAGTCAAAGAGCAAACCATCGAGAACATGATGAGGTAAGAACCAGGTCCGGATGTAGAACCACATCCAGACCCTCCTCCAGGTTACAGTCTAAGCGCCTCTGCAGCTCTCCCACGTTTGGGGGCGTTCAGTCATGTTGATGTCATCTCTCAATTCTGAGGTGAACCTCAGTGAGCGTGTGCAGTGGGGACAAACAGAGGTTTGTGTTGAGCCACAGAGAGTCAAACAGATCAGTGACTCAGACAACGTCCACATGAAGGTGCTTTTCCCCTCCAAGACAGCAGCACTGGTACTGAAACTGTTCTCACTCTGACAAGTGACTTGTGTTAGACATGGTACTAAGAAATTTTATTTTTACTAAGAAGTCCATGTAAAAAAATATTCATATCTTTTTCTCTGGAATCTTTGAACCGCTATTTGCTACAATTGCTAATATTATGTCTTTTTAATTGCCAACAAACTTTTTCTATTTCTCCACTGGGATTTTGCATCACTCGTCTGTTGCAACAATCCTCTCGTCTTAAGCAAAGTCGATCATAACCTTGGTGTTTAGCTCGGACCTAAGAGTTGTGCCCAAGGCTTAATCTTAAATAGGCGTAAAAATCTAAATCTAGGCAGTTTCTATAGTAAGGACTTAGGCTAGTGTTACACTTTCTGCATCCACTTGCATGTCAGGGTCCACTGAATGTAAATTTTAGCATCTTCTGTATGTGTCTCTAAGGACATCTCTGTGGATATCCACATGCTGTCAAAATTTGTCTGTGTGGCAACTACGCTACAAGGGTGATAGTGTTCATGCATGGAATATGTAGAGTATGTGCCAACTTCTACTCTTATATGAGACTAAGTCCTCCCAGTGGACTCCAAGCAGACTAGAAAACGGTAAAATATTTGCTACTTGTACATGGGTGTCTGCAGCTGAGATCAACTAAGGAATATAATTGAGGCTTCAGGCACCACAGCTTGTAACATGAAAGACAATGCTGTGCCTCATATGTGACTGGGTTCTTAGAGAGGAGAGAGTTATTAATTAATAAATAAGTAGTTTATGTAAAATGCACACCTTAAAAAGTTACAGCATTGTTGCTGCTGTCATCACTTGTATGAACAACAACCATCACCGGAGAGAAATCACTCTTCCACAGTTGGTCGGTACAGACACTTTCCACGCTGACCAAACCAGTAAAAGCAGGTGAATCCTCTCCAAAATCACCAGCAGTTATTTTGCGGGTTAGACTGGCGGGTGTGACCAGATCCAGGTCTTTGAGGTTGAAAGACGGCCTTGCCATCACTCTGATCTTCAGTTCCTTCCTCACAATCTGGGGGGTTTAGGTCTGGACTCTAATTGGACAGCTCCAAAATGTTGGTCATGTTTTCTGCATCCATGGAGGCTAGCCTGGTGCAGTGTCTGTCTTGAGATGATGGTACCAGAATAGCAGCACTGGGGTCACTGTTGACTTCTAACACACCCTCTGAGGTTGTTCACAAGAAACTTGTTTTGCATTTGAATCATACTGTGGACTGTGGCCTCTTACACTTGAAAACACTTGGATATACATAGCTTTATTACCTTTGCTTGTTTTGTGAACAGGAACAATGCACAGCAGTCTCAGTGATGGACTCTACCAGCAATTTACTGAGCGCTTCAGTTGTGGGCATGACTTGCATTTGACTAGTAATTGATTAGAGAACCACTGCATCAGCTGTTCTCAATTTATAATGTATTGGACTGTTTGAGAACATGGCAAAATCACTGAGACCATTTGGAATGTTATAGATGCTGCATTATCCCCCCAAACTTGAACAGTTTTAAAAGGGTATGAATAATTAAAAGAAAAAAAAAAACATCTCCAACAGTGTTTTACTATCTTTTGAGACTTGGTTATGTAATTTCCTTAAAGAAATTTGGTAGGGCTGTGAGTCTGAATTTTGGCCTGAATGTATACATGTGCAGTTAGAGGATGGATGAAAGAGTCAATGGATGCACAGTTTTCATGTACGCTTAGCAGTAAGAAATCAACATTTTTATGCCTGGATTTATTGATTTTATTGTGTGCAAAATCAGAACATAGACTGTATTTTATCTTCCGTGGCTTTCGCTCAAAGCTGATTACTGATTATTGGCCTTCATTAAAATATCTGGACATCTTTTCACATTATCACCACCTTTAACACTTAAGTCATGAATTCCTTAAAATAAACTGTATCGGGCATTATCAGGTTAACGTTCTGTATTGATTTTAGAGGGAAGAAGATCTACGAACCACCTCGCTTCATGACAGTCAGTCAGGCTGCAGATCAGCTGATTCAGATCATCAACAGGAAACGGGACGAGGGGGAGGAGCTGGGTGAGTTGAGCCTGATCTACTCAGTAGGATCCCTTAGTGTGCAATAATCTACTTTTGTTGTAATACTTTGAGAAAGAAAATCACATTTATAAGAAAAGCATAACAGCTTAAGAAATAACAAAACACTAAAATATGAGGATTAAGCAGTGTATAGATAATGGATGGATGGAGATAAAATATAATGCCCATCTCTCTGCCCTGCTATGTCTCTCTCCTCCAGGTCTAACTGAGGACACCGTTTGTGTTGGTGTGGCCCGGCTGGGCTCTGAAGACCAGATGATCCGCACAGGGACTTTACGTCAGCTGGTGTCATGTGACCTTGGCCCTCCACTTCATTCTCTGGTGATCACCGGCCAACTCCACCCACTAGAGGTGGATCTACTGCGTATAAATGCAGAACCAAACGCCCTGCAGCACCTCTGCATGCTTGACAGTTCAACGTTCACCTCCTAACAGGCACGCCACTCACATGTTGCTCTGCCTGCCTTTGTGAGGACCACTGGTGTGTTCAATTTGTAATGTCCTTTTACTGTCAAATATGACTTTCTGGGAACCTCCTTATCAAAATGATACATGATCCAGTATGTAGATTTCCTCCGAGTTCGGTGCTGATTGGTCCTCACACCCATGCTCATCTATTTGTAATCCAAGCAAGCCATTGTTAGATTCCTTTCCAAGTACCAATCGGAACTTTCAAACTTGCACTTAAAGTAATGAGTACTGGCAGAAATGTCTTCACCATGATGGGTTTAAAGCAGAAATTTGTCTTCACAAAGAGACGAAACCCATATACATGCACACACAAGCCTGAAAACAATGATTTATTTGTATAAAATATTGATTAAAAAGGCATTTGAACCACTTAATTTTTTTTGATCCAACAAATTCACTTGAAATTTTAATGTGGTTTGACATTTAGGGAATGTGATGTTTTTGTGTTAAATGTGTCATGTTTACAAACTTAAAGAGGATGATCAGGGCCAGGAGACTATTTCAAGGAATAATTCTAATATTAACACAACATAAGGAAACATCAGGATGACTCTATGAAATGTTTTCTGCCTTTATAGCGCTGATCCTCCTATAAGTCTTTATTGAACAGAAACTCTAAATGCTGCCACAAGCATTACAACTAATGTGATGTCAACAAAGATAGAGATCAATAATAGCTCAAGCTCAGAGAAACAGAATTATTTATTACAGCTAAAAAATACTGAAACCCATTGACCAGTCACATGGTTTGGCACATTAAAAGCACAGACACATCACACTCACTGTGGACCAATCAGCAGGTTCTATCAGTGATGTCAGCTGTGGCTGTGGTGGAGGGAGGGGCTCAGATTGTCTCTGATTCATGATGAAGGCACTTACCCAGAATGCTTTGCCAGTCTATAAAGTGCATGGGGAGGCACGCTGCCCACCCACACGGACAAATATGTTTTTTTGTAATTAAAAAAAAAAAGCATTCGGGGGGGGGGGGGCAGGCAGGGCTGTTAGAGTTCTTCAGTTCTCAGTGTGCCCCCTTCCTCATCTCAGTTTGTCCTGTAGTGACTGGAGCTACGGGGGTCAGAGGTCAGCTGCAGACTGAATGTGATTGGTCCCAGGTATGAAGGAGGAGGAGCTTCTACATGGCAGCCGTTTCGATCTGAACATACAACTGTCGAACTCCTGCCTGTGGAGAGACAGATGACACGACCAACTGAATACTACTGACAGTAAATGCTCACAGGAGCAGCACATCCCTTCCCTGTAGGGATCAAAGGCTTCGGTTTTTGTCACCTGTCTGTACCTGTGTGAAGATGTTGTGTGACTGGCTGAGGATCCAGCGGGTGTCAGCATCGGGGGCAACCAGCAGCTTTAACGTTCCAATATAAACATCAGTACACAGAGTCCAAAAGTGAGGCTCGTGCAGGTTGTACACTCCCTGCAGCCGCTGAACCTGAACGCAACACACACACACAAAAAAAAACTAGATTAGATGTACTTTTGGGCAGGTTTTGTAAGCTACAGTTCATGAGTATTACTACAATGTTTTTTCATATTGTAGTACTACAACAGTATGCCTTCAGTTACGACTACAACAAAATGTTATTTGTTACTACTACTTCTTATACCACTACGACAATGTGTTTACTCATACAATATGTCCTTTATTACTACAATATGATTATGTACTCCTACCAGAATATCTGTTACTACCACAAGTACTACTACTGTATGCGTGGGTGAGCTTTGTGAACGGGTGGGGTTTGGTCCGTACTCACCCTCTGGTAGCATTCTGGTAGGGCATGGTCCAGTGAAGGTGGAGTTCTCTGCATCAGGATCCCAATAGACTCCTTCAGTAACGGCACCACACTGATGGTCAGAGGTCAAAGGTGAGACGTGGCCCTCCCCTAATCCAACTACTACAGCATTTCTACACAATCTGTGAGGTTATCCCCATTACACATACTCCAGGTTATGGTACTATTTCTGCTACAACAATAGATGTGATTACTGGTACAGCCCCCGCTACTTTGGCAAACACTACAAATACAACAACCGACAAGATATAATGCTTCCACTGTTGGGTGGTCTATAGACAGATTCACAAATACGACTACTGTTACAACAGTCTAGTGCACAGTGACAATCAAGCTGCTGTTGTTTCAGATTTGTACAATATACTTGAACTGTTCTACTGGAGTTTAATCTGAGTTGAACTATGACGTGCAGTTTAGATGCTTGTGAAAAATGACTATTTTTCACGGTTTGGTCTGACAGTTCCAAATTTTAAACTTGAGTTTGGTGTGAGTTTCACTCTAAATTCATCCTGTAAATGGTCTGAGTTGTGTATTGACTTTAACTTTCCAGCAGCAGTAACCTGAAACCTGTGGTAGCGTGAAGGCCTCTCAGCTGACCACGGCTTCACTCTGCTGACTATTTAAATCTACAGCTGTGTTCACTTCCAGCCTATCAAACCACATCAGCAGACGTCAACTCCATTTATCACTGGGGTTTCTGGGAAATCTGACCACTGCATTTACATCCAGAGAATCAATCAGCTTAGAATGAACTCCAGAACTTTTTCCAGGTCCATACCAGTGGTTTGGCATGTTGGAGCACATTAACTACTAATTGTGCATTCTTTACATTACTGAAAACCATTTTCCTAAGTGTCTATCAGGTTTTAGATGGATTTTCTTCCTTCCAGTCAGGCCCTGGCTTCAGGTCATTTTGCTGTGGAACTGACCAAGAACTGAAACCTGAGAAATAATTAGTCTGCTCGCTAACTTTTGTGTTTCACTCAGAGCTTACTAGCAAAAACAGAGATAGAAAAATGTTCTAGAAATAAATACATTTAAAAGTTATCGTGGGCCACTGAGGAGGTCATATAGATCATTTGAGGGGTTCCAGGGAATTTTAGAACATTTCAGGAGTATGACAACAGACAATCAGTTAGTATCACCTGACTCCGATCAGGAGGGCAATTAGCATGGAGCAGATGGGATCAGCGATCATCAGCTCATATTTCTGCATCAGCAGGGCAGAGATGATCACACCGATACTGCCCAGAGTGTCAGCAATGATGTGCAGAAGGACTCCTGAACATACAAAGTGCTTTAGTTAAAGCAATCACGTGAAACAATTTGAGAGAAATGCAAATAAATAAAATAAAATAAAAATAAATAGAAAAAAAAATACACATTGTGGAAAAGTTTAAATGAATGATAAAACAAGACAAAAAAACAGAATTTAAAAATAAATACAAGACCTTTAATAATTTTCATGAACTTAAAGACATTCTACTTAATATATAAATTTAAATTATTTGAAAAAGTTTATACAAAAAAGTAAATTACAAAGTTAAAGAAAATTTCAAAAATGTTTTTTTTTTTTTTTTTTTTTTTTTTAAAAAGCTATCCATCCATCCATTATCTATACACCGCTTAATCCTCATTAGGGTCGCTGGGGGGCTGGAGCCTATCCCAGTCGACTTAGGGCGAAGGCAGGGGACACCCTGGAAAGGTTGCCAGTCTATCGCAGGGCCACACTGAGAGACAGACAACCAAGCACACTCACATTCACACCTACGGACAATTTAGAATCACCAATTAACCTCGGCATGTTTTTGGACTGTGTGGGAGGAAGCCGGAGAACCTGGAGAGAACCCACGCTGCACGGGGAGAACATGCAAACTCCACGCAGAAAGATTCCGGTGTCCCCACCGGGACCGGAAACCGGCGACCTTCTTGCTGCGAGGCAACAGTGCTACCAACTGCGCCACCCTGCAGCCCTTTAAAAGCTACAAATAATTGAAATACAATTTAAAGTATTTTAAAAAATGAATATGAAAACTTGATCCAATAGATGGCACAAACTTCTTCATGTATTTAGAGTGATGGATTGTAAGTAAGTTTTGAGGTACTTGTACATAACTTGTGTAATACAATTTTGTGCTACCTAATGCTGCTATTCCTCTGCAGTTAAGAGGTAAATACTGTTGTTACTTGTTCTTTACTACATTTATCTGACAAATTCAGTCACTTTACAGATTCAGATTATTGACTACGTAGAAGTACTCCAGTTCTTTACTTAAGTAAAAGTACCAATACAAACAATCCATCCATCATTTATACACCACTTAATCCTCACTGGGGTCACGGGCGGCTGGAGTCTATCTCAGCTGACTTAGGGTGAAGGCATGGTCACCTGGACAGGTAACCAGTCTATCACAGGTCTCCACAGAGAGACAACCAAGCACACTCACATTCACACCTACGGACAATTTAGAATCACCAATTAACCTCAGCATGTTTCTGGACTGTGGGAGGAAGCTGGAGAACCCGGAGAGAGCCCACACTGCACGGGCCGGCAACCTTCTAGCTGTGAGGCGATGGTGCTAACCACTGAGCTACTATGCAGCCCCCAAACAATACAGCTGAACCATTTTAAAGTACTCTGGTACAAGTACTAGTCCTCTACTCAAAATTATACACAAGTAACAGTACAGTTGAAGCTACTACACGATTGGTTACAGTTGTTGGGTAGTTTAGTCAAGTGGTTCTAAAGCGAGGGGTTGAGGCCCTCTTGAAGATCGTCAGAAAAATCTAGACCTTCGTATGGCTCCTGCTGCTGTCTGGTGCTGCAGCTACTAGACAGCCTCAGAGCCAAAACTTGCAAACAGCTGGAAGAAACAAACTGCAGCTCCTCTTAACATCTTGTGGGGAAAAGAAGCTCTTTGTGCCTGTTTTCATCGCAGTAATTTTATCATTGTATATATATTTATTATTACATATATAAAGTGAAAAAGGAATTTTGTGATTTTGGCACACAAACTGTATTAAGCGTCTCTGTGATGTTTTCGGACGAACGTTGATGCTGAAATGTCGAAAAATCCATCAAATCACTTTACACAACACAAAGTAACGCTGCTTGTGTCTGTCCATTAATGTGATGGCTCAGTTCTCACTTGTGCTGTGTTGAAAGTGGTACAGAAATGTGCCCATGTCAGTCCTAGAAATACTGCTGGTGCGACATTTATGGAAACCTGATGGAGTTGCACATTCAAAAAATGAAGCCAACACATCACATTTTGGTCAGATTAATGGAATGGCATGCAGGTCTGAAAGAGGCTTAACTGAGTAAATGATGGTTACACACTGATGCATCAAGAATAATACTCCAGATACAGTATATCATACATCCTGCAGAGGTGATCAGTAGATCAACACAACACCAACAGTCTAAGAATGTAATAAGAGCAGTCATTGTTCCTTGAAACATGTTGTAATTGCTTGATGTTTCCCAGTCAGACTGTCATTAACGATAACACTGAATCTCTTCAGGTTTTGGTCTGTTGGTTAGATGAAAAACCATTTAAAGTTGTTACGATGGACTGTAGGAAATGACAGCAAAGACTTCTAACTACTTTCTGACATCTTATAAACAAATTAAATTTTCTAAAAACTATTTAGCAGAACTGTTAGTTGCAGCCTTAGTGTATTGTTTTTCAAATTCAAATTGAAATAACTTTATTTATACCCGAGGGGCAATTCAAAAGCTCACTGAGTATTTAATAATTTTAAGAGAAGCCATTCCACATAATGTCAATACTTTCAGTACCTTTTTTTATTCCAAGGATGCGATTGTCCTCGGACAGATACAGATACCACTTTATTGACCATTTTTTGCTTCCCCAAAGAAGCATTTGCTAGTTTTTATTAAAAACTTCAATATAGTGAGCAGTAACTTAATAAGAATTCTCATTTGATGCTGAAACTTGAATGTCAGTTTCATTTTGAGTGCAGAAGTCTGCTGTCTGGGTCTCACTGCAATGAAAACAGTAACATACAAAACTGCAATTGAGGGAAGATGTCAGTTGAGCTAATCAGCCAATAGTAGGCTTATACCCACAATCTACAGCCAGTCACTCAGACTAGGCTACACCACAGTATCATTCTGCCTACAATACACTGGCTTGTTTCTGTTTCCTTAAACTAATCCTAGCTGTCATGGGCGAGGCCACGCAAAGGACTTCCCTCAAAATAGTGACAGCTAGAAGTCTTCTGGTGGAACATTTGTACGAAGGGAGACAAACACTGTTACTAAAATGTATAATCCACGGAAAGAAAATAGCAGGGCTTCCTTACTAGATGATCGAAAGTCTCAGCAAAATTTTCAGTTTCATTTTCAGTGGGGTAGGCTGTGTCCCAGAGGTTATTTCCAGGGGCAAAGAAAACGGTAACACAGAGATAGTTGAAGGGGGGAGAGAATGATCAGCCAATGGCAGGCTTATACTTGTAACCTACATCAGGTGGGTCACACCACTTGACAACAGGCTGAGAGGTGGTGTGTGGACGCCTCCCAGTGGTTCAGTACACTGTAGTGCAGAGCAGAGACCACAGAGCTGAAAGTTCAGTAGGCTTTATTTGATTTGGTTCAGTTTGGAGGTCAGATTTCAGTATCTGGAGCACTGCACAAAATCATGTTCAATGTTCAATGTTCATGAGTTGCTAAGAAAAAAGCCAACCTCTCTAAGGCCTTTCTACTGTTTGATGTACAGCAGAGCTGCAAAGAACTGAGTTTTCATTGTCTGTTCACTTATTAGAATATGTTAATCGCAGTTTGCAGAATCCAATATGAAACGTTTAAACATCTTGTTTAAGCCACTTACTGAGAGCCCTGACAGAGACAGAAGCAGTGCCTCCTGCCATTTGTAGCGGAGAATAGAAAGAATGTTTAAGACTTTTTTTTCTTTTGTTTAAAGAATGATGGAAATTAAATATATAATAAATTAAGAATCAGAATGGTTGATTGTTTTTCTCTTGATCAGCTAACTGATTAATAAGCCGATATACAATATAAATAAAGTTAAACCTTTCTCCTGGCATTCTGAAAAAGAAACTGGGACTAGTTGCTCATTTTAAGCTGAAATTGTAAAATTCCTTGCCATTCCAAACACTTTCATATTTGGTCTTTTAATGTTGTGTACACTGCTACATGTGTGTGCATTAATATACACACATAAATATGTAGTATATTTTGTTAGCAATTACTTTTTGTCATGGGATGTTGTTTTTTACTTTTGTCTGATCATTTGTATTTCTACATCTGAACTTGTCTGCTTTTTGGACACTCAAAAATGGGGGAAAAACTATTAACACAGTGTAAAAAAAGTGTGTATGTGTGGTGTGGTGAATGATGTGGGTTATTGTGGTGATCATGTGAGTGCGGTTCTCACCCTGCAGGATCTGTTTACTGGCACCTTTTCCTGGTGTGTGCTGCAGCTCATCTGAACCAAAAACATAACAGAAAAATTCAGCATGGAGAACAATAATGAATAAATACCAATACAAATATCTCTGGTGTGTCTCCTGAGCAAACTACTCCTTGAAAGCATGTTTGTAGCTGAGACGTTTGTTTCACCACATTACCTGAAGCCAAGGTTTTCCCTGCAAAGGAGTTCTTGGAAAAATGATCCAAATCTAACTTAAAAAAAATATGTTTCCTTAAAATCACTTTAGTCTGCATCTCATTTAAAAATGCCAACAACATAGAATTTTTCTTAAAGAATCTGGTTTCTGTGTTCCTGAGAGCAACACAGCAACCATATCTGACCGACTCGCCTAAAATTCACACACAGAGCAGAGAGGAGACAGGAGGAAAACAAATTAAACACTTAAGTAGCAAAATATATACAACTGTAAACAAAAGTTTACATCCACTTGTAAAGACTGTGTATATCATGTTACCTCTTGAGTTTCCAGTGACTCCCACAACTCTTAATTTACTATGATGGAATTACTGAAGCACACTCATCTTTGTCACAGACACAACCAGAAACCTGCCAGAAGCTTGTGGATGGCAACCAAAAGTGTCTAGTTGAGGTGAAAATGGCTACTGCTGTATGTACAGTATGTCACAAAGGTAAGTACACCCCTCACATATTTTATTATATCTTTTTATGGGACAACACTGAAGAAATGACACTTTCCTACCATGTAAAGCAGTCAGTGTACAGCTTGCATAACAACGTAATTGTACTGTTCCCTTAAACTAACTCAATACACAGCCATTAATGTCTAAACCATTGGCAACATAAGTGAGTATACCTAAGTGAAAATGTCCAAATTGGGCTCAATTAGCCACTTTCCCTCCCCGGTGTTATGTGACTCGTTAGTGTTACAAGGTCTCAGTTGTGAGTGGGGAGCAGGTGTGGTAAATTTGGTGTTATCGCTCTCACACTGTGGCTTGGGTGGTAGAGTGGTTGCCCTCTGATTGTAAGGTTGGTGGTTCGATCCCCGGCCCCTCCACAGTCGAAGTGTCCTTGGGCAAAACGCTGAACCCAAAGCTGCTCTTGAGAGCAGCTTTGGGCTAGCATATTGCATGGCACCTCTGTCGCCATTGGTATATGAATGTGTGTGTGAATGGGTGAATGAGAAAACATTGTTAAGCTTTGAGTGCCGCTACGGTAGAAAAGCGCTACATAAATGCAGTCCATTTACATGCTCTCATACTGGTCACTAGAAGTTTAGCATGGCGCTTCATGGCAAAGAACTCTCTGAGGATCTGAAAAACAGAATTGTTGCTCGACATAAAGATGGCCAAGGCTATAAAAAGATTGCCAACACCCTGAAACTCAGCAGCAGCATGGTGGCCAAGACCATACAGCGGTTTAAAAGGACAGGTTCCATTCACAACTCAGAAGTTGAGTGCACATGCTCAGCATCATATCCAGAGGTTGTCTTAGGAAAATAGATGTATGAGTGCTGCCAGCAGAGGTTGAAGGGGTGGGAGGGTCAGCCTTTCTGTGCTTAGAACATACGCCGCACACTGCATTAAATTGGTCTGCATGGCTGTCATCCCAGAAGGAAGCCTCTTCTAAAGATGATGCACAAGAAAGTCCGCAAACAGTTTGCTGAAGACAAGCAGACTAAGGACATGGATTACTGGAACCATGTCTTTTGGTCTGATGAGACCAAGATAAACTTATTTGGTTCAGATGGTGTCAAGCGTGTATGGCGGAAACCAGGTGAGGAGTACAAAGACAAGTGCGTCTTGCCTGCAGTCAAACGTAGTGGTGGGAGTGTCATGGTCTGGGGCTGCACGAGTGCTGCCAGCACTGGGGAGCTACAGTTCATTGAGGGAACCATGAATGTCGACATGTACTGTGACATCCTAAAGCGGAGCATGATCCCCTGCCTTCGGAAACTGGGCTGCAGGGCAGTATTCCAACATGATAACGACCCCAAACACACCTCCAAGACAACCACTGCCTTGCTAAAGAAGTTGAGGGTGAACGTGATGGACTGGCCAAGCATGTCTCCAGACCTAAACCCTATTGAGCATCTGTGGGGCATCCTCAAACGGAAAGTGGAGGAGCACAAGCTCTCCAACATCCACCAGCTTCATGATGTTGTCATGGAGTGTAAGATGATTCCAGTGGCAACCTGTGAAGCTCTGGTGAACTCCATGTCCAAGAGGGTTAAGGCAGTGCAGGAGAATAATGGTGGCCACACAAAATGTTGACACTTTAGGCCCAATTTGGACATTTTCACTTAGAGGTGTACTCACTTTTATTGACAGCGGTTTAGACATTAATGGCTGTGTATTGAGTTATTTTGAGAGGACAGTAAATGTACACCATTATACAAGCTGTACACTGACTACTTTACATGGTAAGAAAGTGTAATTTCGTCAGTGCTGTCCCATGAAAAGATATAACAAAATATATGCAGAAATGTGACATACTGTATATTTTCGACTCAGCATATTGTCATATTTACAGAGGACCTGAAATTAATCAATGAAATAACCAAAATGCATGTTTGTTTTTTGTGACGAACACACGTTTTAATGATGCCATCATAGAAAATTAAGAGTTGTAGGAGTCCTTGAAAACTCAAAACTGCCTTGATATACATGGTCTTTACAAGTGTGTGTAAACTTTTCTTCACAGCTGTATAGCATGTGTAGCTACCATTTTTTTCTAGTACTAGTAACACCTATGGGCACTTGGAAAAATATTGCACATGTCGATATCATTAATGTCATTATGATTGTGTCATACTGCAGAGAAAACATCTTTGTGTTCTCTCTACTCTTAGCATTGTGCTGTTTCCATAGACATGTAGGACTTCCGACTGCAGTGAAAAATTAGCCTCCAGTGACTAACAATGTGACAGGAGCAAAAAGAAAAAACAGAGAAACTGCTTGCAGTTCAGGGTGATGGTGAACTCCGATTTAAAGCGGATGTTGGATTGTTGGTCTGAACTGTGTTTGTGGAGTCCACATATAGGAATAATTTGTGTCACACTCTTACTGTGACAGTGTGGTTCCTCATGACTGTGTCCGTGTCCTTCATGACTGTGTCCGTGTCCTTCATGACTGTGTCCATGTCCTTCATGACTGTGTCCGTGTCCTTCATGACTGTGCCGGTCAGCATGTTTGTTCTGGTGGTCTTGTCCTATGTGACTGTGGCTGTGATTCAGACTGCCATTAAACAGAGAGTGACTGTGGCCATGACCTGAGGACAGAGAGACAGAGGTTAGAGAACAGAGGTTCTGCAGAGCTGCAAGGAACTTCTGAGGAGGTTCAGCTTCTGCTGATCAGTGGTGAAGTTCGGCAAGGGTGCAGTGAACCTGTGAAATTCTCTACTGGTGCAGCAAGGTTCTACAATTCTATACTGAGGTTCTAGTGATTTGTAGTGATATCCAACTGATCTGCAGTAAAGTTCTATTGAGTTCCAGTGTAGTACTGTACAGCTGTGTTGAGGTTTCAGAAGGCCTACAAGGCCAGGCCACTGTGGCTCAGGTGTTAGTGGGTTGTCCATGAATTCAAGGACAGAACTGAATTGGTGAATGGGAAACACTGAAGTGTTTCAGTACAACTAAAGCAGAAAAGTGCCATATAGGTGCCTCAAAGAGGATGTTTCAAAAAGTATATAACTATATATGATAAAGTTTCATATCACCGTCCACAAAAACTCCAATGTTTGAAGAAAAAAGGAGCAGAAAAAAGGAGCTGAAAGGTTAGAGCTGGCTGCTGCTGCTCCGGGACAATGTGCCCGTCCACAAAGCATCAAGTGGCAGAAGCTTAGAACGGTTGTTCCATGAACCTTCCTCACCCGACCTGCACCATCTGACTTCTGTTTCTCAAAATTCGCCTTTTTCAGAAGGTTGATGAAGTCATCCATGCTGTTGAGAAGCATCTGAAGGCTCAAGATGTGACTTTCTTTCATGATGGGGTAGTGAAGCTTAAACATTGGCTTACCAAGTGCATTAGGTTAAAGGTGAAAAATAATGCAACAACAAAACTGAAAACTTTTTGAAGTACCCTCGGATGACGTTCTACAACTATTTTGTTAATCTGAGCATATTGCTCTGTGAGCTGCAATGAGACTCAGGTATTACCTTCCTCTCCATGCGAGTGTCCATGCCCTCCATGCTGGAACACAAAGATCCCGATCAGGTTAACCAGCAGACCGGCCACAGAGACTGGAAGCAGGCGTTCATGGTGAACATCAGGAGGTTCCAGAGCTCTCTAAAAGAAAGACAGTCAGGTTTAGTGCTGCATCGTCTCCTTCTGAAACAATCATCAATCGATGCTGGCAAGTGTCTTTTCTTCTGGACAAAGTTTCAGAGTGCTCAGCAATGGATCAAAAACAAAGGGGACATTTTTTAACCTGAGTTTCTCCTTAAGACTCGCTGCAGTTTTACTAAGTTACGTAATGGATGTAATGAAGAGGTGAAAGCCACTGCCACTTAGCCTCGCTGCTAATTTGTCCCAGTGGCCATCACTGTTACTGCAACAAAAAAAAGTCCCCTAAAACTCCAAAACAAATTTTCACCCACCATCTGTGGACAGAACACTGGCAAACAAGGCCAATTTTACAGTTTTACCTATGATGTTTTTTAATGCATGGAGGTTTTATATTTAAACACAAATGCACATGTGCATTGGGTCACAACACAGAAGCAAACTGAGAAGCTGGATAATGTTTTGGTTCATGTACCAGGCAGGAATTTCCATTAAAGTGAACCGGTACCATCTCTAAAATCCAGTTTGCTTTAATACATCCATGAGGTACTTATGTTACCCTGGAGGAAGCCTTAATTACACCACATTGCAGACGTGCACACCAACAGCTGCAGACACCTTGGACAGGTAGTTGCTATTGTTATCCTAATTCATAGTCAGCTGGGAGGACTTTGTTCCAGACATGCGCAGTAGGGTGACATCTATGTAATTCACACATGCACAGTATTGCCTTTGTTCACATGGCGACTACACCACAGAGGCAATAGTGTGCAAATTTTGGGCTGCATATACAGCGGGCTGTGCAGACTGTGGTGAACTTGGTGAGGTCACAAAACTGATGTTACCTAGCCCTAGCGGCCCCTCACATAGTTGCAGATGGACGGAGTATAACACTGGCTTTGCAGTAAACACTAGGGCTGGGCCATATCATACCGTGCACGGTAATACTGGTGTAATGCTAGGCGATGATATGAAATTGAAATATCGCCATAAAGTTTGAGTGAAACACGCATGCGCAGTGCCGTTGTTTTCATCTGGTCTAATGCATATGGAGCCAGAAGCATGGTGGCGACTGAGGAGGAGGACGAATGCAGTGCATCAACCGACACAGTAGGGCTGGACCCGAATATCAGAATATTTGTTGTGGTGGTGTCCGCATAGCAATTTTGAGATCCAAATATTGCCCACCACCCCCCTCTCCCCCTGCTGCCGCCACTGCCACAACCACCCGATGGTGGAAACAGAACTGTGATCGCTAAACTGGCATTAGCAGCCAAGTACTGCCTGTGCGTCCCGCCCACTTCCACCCTATTGGTCCAAAAATTCACCCATGCTGTACACCCCCCCCCAGCTGACATGGTGGTGAAACCAAAGAACCTGGCTGCAAAGTTTTATGTTGCAAAGAAACTCCACTTTACTTTTGTGGATACTATGCATTATTATGCTCAGGAATTGTAAACCCATTTCCATTTGAAATGCTGTTTGATTAAACACATTGTCAGCAAGCAATTTACAACTAATGCACTATTGATTTTGGTATAATATAGCTTTAATGCACATCAAAAACAGCTGCTTGCGAAATAGAGAATAAATGTTCTCTTTTTTTTATTTGCAACAATAAAGTTTTGAAGTATTTTGTCTCGCGTCAATTATATCATCAGTTATATCGTTATCACAAATTTTCTCATTTGTATCATAATAAATATTTTGGGTCATGTCACCCTGCCCTAGTAAACACTTTAGATTACATGAGAGAATAACAGCAGTGCACTCTGTAGACTTAGTGAGTAAGCTTAGGTGAAAGGGAAACCATCTGTGTTCTACCTCAACTCCTTCAGAGAAGATGAAGAAAGCAGTGAAGATGAGGAAGAGTCCATTGACGAAGCCTGCCAGAACCTCTGCTCTCACATAGCTGAGACAGAGAGTACACAGAGTAATCAAACACACTTGCTGTGAGTCAGACATGAGTAACAGAGCTCAGAGTGACAGTGGCTCATCTCACCCGTATGAGAAGCTGTCGTTGGATCTCCACCTGGAGATGACTGAGGCTGCCAGACCTGCCAGCAGGGCAGTGCAGTCAAAGAACATGTGGAAGGAGTCTGAGATCAGACCTAAACTGAACACAGGACATGCAGCAAACATGAAGAGACAAGTCAAGAAACAGGATCCACGCAGGTATGTTTGGATTCACATAGTATCACCTAATGTTTGTCTGCAGCAGTAGACAGAACAGCTGGTTAAAAAGTCATTGAGGATTCTGGAAACCCATTTAGACCAGTAGGACATCTGTTAGAAGACAATCAGGGACTTGTCATTTAACTCATGTTACTTGTGTGACTGTTGAGAACACATGGGAGGCCATGGGCTCCTGTTTTAATCAGACTATAAGTAACACTGCGGCTGGCAGTGCAGCATCACGTGAGAGTAAAGACAAGTCACGTGATGAGGAGCTCTGTGCCAATGAAATTAAAAAGGAGGCATAACAGGACCAATAAGAGGTCTCTTTCTACGTCCAGTGGATATTCTAGAAAATATTGGACCAGGGATTCTCATGAAATATCCCTATTTTATGCTTTAAATATCACATTTTATGGCTAGTGTTAGCTAATTTCTAAATTAACCAAAACACACATTGCACATTATTAGTTCAAGGACCATTGGAAAAATTAAAGTCTGACAGTTCTTTGTGTCCTCATAGTCTCCAGCTCTGATATTTATGCAATTTTCAAAAAAGATACCATACCTTTTCAAACCCACTGATATGTTTCAGGGTTCAGAGGGTTAAAGTGCAATACAACTGTGGGCTGTTCAGTGCTGGTTTGAAAAGATCTCTGGCTCCAACAGGCTCTCATTTGAAAAGAATAAACTTCTGTCCTGAGATAATGAGTCAATACATTTATTTTCAACAAGTCATTTTCATGTGATAAGCTAAATTCACTCCTCCTGATCAGTGTGCTGGTAGCTATTTCAAAAAGATTATTTCATCATTAAGCAGATATTAGGCCACAAAGGGAGGTATGTTTGGGGCCGTCACTGACTTGATGGCTATGTCTGGTCTGGAGTGATCGACAATCCATTTAGGTGATTCAGTGATTTTGTCATCATGTGTTGGTGGAGTAGGCAAAACAGAGTGCTTTTTGATAGCTTGTTATAATCAGTTTACCATCATTCTGGTTTCTTCTTCTTCAGGTATTTTGACTAACAGACTCTTGAGGGATTCTGATCTTCCATTTTCCTCTTGAGTAAATCTTTGTTTTCGTATTGATTTCCAGTTTTCATGCATTTTATATGCAATATTAATGTTTAGTAGAATGTGAACAATAGACCTTGTCCATTTGCTAACATAGTGACCATACTGTACAAATCACCTGCGTCCTCCAATCAGGTTTCAAATGTCACTCTCCCACCTCTACTGTCTGTTTCACATTTGAAGGGTCATAACTCCAACTGCAAAAGATGGTGTCAACCATAAAGCCATTGTCTAGGCTTCATTTCAGCTCTAAAGCAAAGCAATAGGTACCATCACCACTTGCTATGTCCATCTTTATAGCAAGATATGAAGACAAGTAAGTTGCTTTAAGCAACGTCTGATGTGACATTTACAGCCTAAGCCAATCTGTGAAGCCTGTCCCTAGATGCGAGTTTAAAATACATACTTAAAAACAGCACAACTGTAGACAGTTCCGCAATGATAAAACGCATAGTGGTAAAAGGTAAACATTCTGCCCGCCCCCTAGTTTCTCTTCACTGTTGCTTTCTATGATCTGATCTGATCTGATCTACGGTTCATTCTTCAGGTTTGTCGCTCTTACGTTTAGACATGATGGTGAACAGACTATAAGGAGATCAAGTGTGGCTGCTCAGGCTCCAGGCTAACCGCAGCTTCTGCTTCAGTCAAAAGATGACGGACACACTGGGCTTCTCCATTGCTAACACATACGTGGCACATCCTGAACACACACACACACACACACACACACACACACACACACACACACACACACGCACACGCTAGCACGGTGTTAGCGTACCTGTTACTCCAGATACCGTACATCAACTCGACAAAGGCGAAGGACAGGTTGAGACACAGGAAGAAAAACAGATTCCTGGAGGTTTTATCGGCGAGAATCGACCTGAAAAAACAGACAACGGTCGGAAAATATGCAGCACAGACCACAATATCCGAGCAAAGCCCGCTTACTGACTGCTCACGGCCACTTTCCCGTCAGAGGCACGTTAAAGCCCGTCAGGCCGGTCAAAGTGCCATTAATGCGGACAGCTCACAGGGAACGACCTGCCCGGAGCAGCCGGTTAGCATCGGGCTAGCAGCTTATCGTTACAGTCAGCTGGGAGCCACTTAGCTCAGCTAGCGCTGGTACTGCGGCTGGAAGGCAGCCGTGATACCAGCGGTGACTTTACCTGAACCATCCTGAGAGCTTCACCAGCAGGTTGAACTTGGCCGGTTTGTACTCGTCGTCTTTAATGGATAAAGGTAACATGTTCACACCTGGTGTCGGTCGGTGAGGCTGAGCTAAGGATGATCACTGCCAGCTTCCGCTCTGGACGCATTTCACAATAAAAGGCGTTAAGCGCGCCCGGGTTTCTCAAACACTGAGGCGATAGTATTACTACCACAGTAGTAGTGCATCCACTACTACTACCACAGTAGCACTACTACCACAGTAGTACTGTATCCACTACTACTAGTTAACAG